TGACCTCAGCCGTAGCAATCTCTTACTCGACACATCCCCAAAGGCAAGGGAATTAAAAGCAAAAGTGAATTACTGGGACCTTATGAAGATAAAAAGCTTCTGCACAGCAAAGGAAACAACCAACAAAACGAAAAGGCAACCAACGGAATGGGAAAAGATATTTGCAAATGACATATCGGACAAAGGGCTAGTCTCCAAAATCTATAAAGAGCTCACCAAACTCCACACCCGAAGAGCAAATAACCCAGTGAAGAAATGGGCAGAAAACATGAATAGACACTTCTGTAAAGAAGACATCCGGATGGCCAACAGGCACATGAAAAGATGTTCAGCGTCGCTCCTTATCAGGGAAATACAAATCAAAACCACACTCAGGTATCACCTCACGCCAGTCAGAGTGGCCAAAATGAACAAATCAGGAGACTCTAGATGCTGGAGAGGATGTGGAGAACCCTCTTGCACTGTTGGTGGGAATGCAAATTGGTGCAGCCGCTCTGGAAAGCAGTGTGGAGGTTCCTCAGAAAATTAAAAATAGACCTACCCTATGACTCAGCAATAGCACTGCTAGGAATTTATCCAAGGGACACAGGAGTACTGATGCATAGGGGCACTTGTACCCCAATGTTCATAGCAGCACTCTCAACAATAGCCAAATTATGGAAAGAGCCTAAATGTCCATCAACTGATGAATGAATAAAGAAATTGTGGTTTATATACACTATGGAATACCACGTGGCAATGAGAAAAAATGAAATATGGCCTTTTGTAGCAACGTGGATGGAACTGGAGAGTGTGATGCTAAGTGAAATAAGCCATACAGAGAAAGACAGATACCATATGGTTTCACTCTTATGTGGATCCTGAGAAACTTAACAGGAACCCATGGGGGGAGGGGAAGGAAAAAAAAAAAAAAGAGGTTAGAGTGGGAGAGAGCCAAAGCATAAGAGACTGTTGAGAACTGAGAGCAAACTGAGGGTTGATGGGGGGTGGGAGGGAGGAGAGGGTGGGTGATGGGTATTGAGGAGGGCACCTTTTGGGATGAGCACTGGGTGTTGTATGGAAACCAATTTGACAATAAATTTCATATATAAATAAAAAAAAATAAAACCATAAAATTATTTATGGTTATGAATTTCTCAGAACTTTTTTCTAAGCAAAGCCCAGCCTGTCAGACAAGCCTCCTAGATGCTGCCTGTGCTGGTAGTTATATTTTCTAGTCCATCTTCTGTAGCACTCTGCAGAACCACTGAAGTTAGGAGTGCTGTTTCCATTCTCACCTAAAACGAGCCCAAATCCTGATCTCTGGTCCTGCTATGAGAGGTAAACTCAAACCCCTATGTTACTGCCTCGGAGTGTCACTACACAGGCTTACTGTCCTGGTTTTCAGATCCTTCTTCATTTTTGGCCTCTGGGATTTTTCTTTTACTTTTCTTTTTTTTTTTTAAGTTTATTTATTTATTTTGAGACAGAGAGACAGAGCATGAGCAGATGAGGGGCACAGACAGAGGGAGAGAGAGAATCCCAGTCAGGCTCTGCACTGTCCACACAGAGCCTGACTCAGGGCTTGAACTCAAGAAACCTGAGATCATGACCTGAACTGAAACCAATAGCCAGATTCTTAACCAACTGAGCTACCCAGGCACCCCTGGCCTCTGGGGTTTTTTGTTACATCTGGGTAAGCTCAGCTATGCAGAGCTATGCACAGTCTATCAGGCTGCATTATATTTTCCATCGTTTCTAAAGACTTTGTAGGACAGTCTACTTAGACAGCCAACGTGTAAAAATGAAGTTGCTCATAAAATGTCTATAATGTAAAAACTCTGCCAAGGATCGGAGCCTTAACTACAGCAGAATCCTGATCCACAACCTCAAACATTTATGGAAAGATGAGTTTACTTTCATCTTGATGACTTAAAACATAAAAGAAGTTACAAAAACAGCAGCATTTTGGTGGGGTGTGGTGTAGAGGGGTGGAAAGAGAATCAATGGGGGGATACTTTCCTCATAGTAGTAGGACATATGGGCTGTCTTGAGCCCTGGTCCCTTTAGTCCGGTCAGCGAACTTATCTCTCTCCTTCTCCATTTGACCGCCTCTCAGCTTGACTCTCCAGAGATGGCTAATGCCATAGAGCTAGTGCACGCTTCAGGGAATTCACTCCAATGAGAACACCAGGAGCAGGCAACTTGACTCTCATCAAGCCAGTTCTGGCTAAAACTCTTGAGGTTCTGGTCAGATAAACCTAGGGGTTTTGTTCTCTATAAGGAGGGATCAAAGGACTCTGGCTGAACCTAACTTTACAACCAATCCTAAAATTGGGGGGAAAAGGCAAATCACTCTAGGGAATCCTCTCAGAAATCCTAAAGAAGCCACAAACCAGGAAACACTGGAATCCTCAATGCCAATCAGATTCATTGTAAAGAATCCAGGATTCTTCTTCACCACCAGCAATCCTCTGATATAAAACTAGTCAGTCATGATATCCACATACCTATCATCCTTTCCACACCCTCTGGCTCCATCATTCCCTGCCCTACAAAGGATGAGGCAATGCCTCAAATAACATGGTGAACCCTGGAGAGCCCCAATGCACAGATGCATCAATTTTCCCTAGGAATGGATTTTCCTCCAAGTTTACATTCCTACCTTAAAGTACTCACTAGTTCAAATGGCATGTGTCATTAAAGTTGGTAATATGTCTTTTATAAATGGTGATTTAATTTGTTTATTAGTAGAACTAAACCATTTGTCCCTTGCTTCGGATTTTTTAAAAAATTAAAAAGGGATTGCAGTAAGATGTCCCCTCAGGAAAAGACCCTTCTGAAAAAGGATGAGGCATATTGGTGAGGAGTTCAAGAGTTAGTAAAAATATGGAATACTGCATTTAGTCTGAAAATAAAAGAGAATCACTTTCAATTTTAGTTAAAATAGACGCATACAAATTCTCTTATTTTCTGCATATGCCTCCTACTTCTTTCAATTTTCAAACTCTGCTTGAAAGATTAAAAATACAAAGCAAAGCTAATAGACTTACAGTGACTGAGTAACAGAATCAACCAGCAATCAACTCTGTGCCACCCTAAGAGCAGGATGTATTACCAGAATTCACTACTTAATAGTCCAACTCCTCCTTTGTCAATGTCTAAAATAGAGATTTAATTATAATGTAACTTTTTTTTTAATTTTTTTTCAACGTTTATTTATTTTTGGGACAGAGAGAGACAGAGCATGAATGGGGGAGGGGCAGAGAGAGAGGGAGACACAGAATCGGAAACAGGCTCCAGGCTCTGAGCCATCAGCCCAGAGCCTGACGCGGGGCTCGAACTCCCGGACCGCGAGATCGTGACCTGGCTGAAGTCGGACGCTTAACCGACTGCACCACCCAGGCGCCCCTAATTATAATGTAACTTTAGACAAGTGACAGAATATGTCTGGTCCTCAGTTTCTTGATCTGTAAAATGGAGAGAATACAAAAACCTATTGCTTAGGGTCATTGTAAGGTGTAATTCAGTAGTGGTACTGAGTGCTTAACAGCTGTTAGCCCTCTGAAAGATTCATTTCAGTATTACAGTGTGCCAGGGGTCTTCCATTATTGCATTTAATTTATTACCTTGATATCTCCTTCTTCCCTCAAAATAAAAACTTCTGGTTAGCAAAGACCTCTTTAGCTCCATTTAAAAAAAAAAAAAAGAATTAAAGAAGTCAACTTCCAAGAAGAGGGTATATTTTATATTTAATGTATTATTTTCAGCAACAGCTTAAAAAATGCAAGGTTTTTAATGGGTCCCTTCCCCTTCTGGCCCCAGTGCTAACAGTGCACAACACCTCTCTGACAGGCTGAGTTGTGTTGGGTAATTCCAAGAGCACCATTACCCGTTCCATTACTATCAGCACTGCGCTAAGGGTGAAGCTTGTCCTGACTTCCCTAGGTTAGACTCTGTGACTCCATCATTTAAAAATAGACTCAGTAAATGGCATTATTCAAAACCCAAGAAACAACTACAAAGCATTTCGGTAGCTTCTTAAAGCCTGAACATTTGATCTAAATCTCACGTTCCACTTGGTACCAAAAAGGAACCTTTGTGAAATAACCTGCTTTCCCATTACTGTTCATCTCTTTTGATGGTGGGGGGAAAAAATAAAAATTTTAATTGAGCTATCCCTCTCAGCTTTGTGCTGGCTAACATCTGTACATAAGATCAAAACAATTGCAGTACAGAAGAGGCCGACAATCTTGCCTCACCTATATTTAGAAGAAAATGATATTACCTAGCTTTCCAATCTATTGGGAAGGATAGATGAAAACCCTCCTTGGGAACTATTTCATTGCACAACAATATCTAACATAGTTTATTATTGTCACGAATCTAATTCTTAGTGCTGTAAGCTAAGCCCTTCTCCTTATATTCTGTTCTTAAACCTTACTGAGAGCAAACTAAGAATTGGAGAAACTTAAAAAACAAAACCTACAGTCTACTTGTTAGTACATCTTCATGCCACAGTGATTTGATTAGTGATTTGATAAGTATAGATCACAACCCTGGATTTAATACAGGGTGGCCCACTTTTAAGATGACCCATTCATAACAAAGTTCTCTCTGTTGGAACTGTCAAGAGAGTTTTTATTTAACCAGGCATTGCAGAGCAAAGGAATTGCAAATCTAAAGACCTTCATCTTAGCCCAGCCTTACTGAGTGTAAACAAGTCAGTAAGATTTCCCAATTCTCATATTCTGTCACTATAATGAAATTCTTACCTGCCCTCAAACTATCCACAGAGATATCCTAAAGGAGAAGGAACACAAGACAAGCACGGTAGAACACTACAAGCTCGTTGGAGGAAAGGCTCTAAATGTCTTAAGCAAGAAAAATGCACAGATTATCTTTACTGACAGTAAACTATCACAAAGAGTTAGGCTACTACAAGCTAAAAAATTCTCGTTGAATTTTTACGAATTTCAAACATAACACTCACCACAGTAGAAAGGGGAAAGATAACCTACCCCATGTTCCCATCCATTAGAAGAATCGTGTTGTAGATGTGAGAAAATATGAAGAGAAACAGAATTGTGCTGAAGAACATTGTCATCCATGACCCATGATCCTCTCGAAACATTTTTAACCGGAGCAACTGACCTGCGATAGAAAACAGTATTAGAAATTCATTGTACATCATAATTCCAAATTCATGCATCTTCACTTTACTTCACTGAATCTCTATTAGCTCCCCATATTCTGAAGACTTTGCCACAGAATTGCCTTATGGATCAAACCACCATGTTAATGTCCTTTCTGGTCTTTTGTAAATAAACGATCATGGACAAAGTCTAAGTCAACACCATATAATCCTGGAGCAAATGACACTAACATGAAAATCGAGTATGGTTTAGAAATAATTCATTATGCTGCCATGAAAACAAGATGAATTAGACCCCTACCATCCGCTATTTTCTATTTCACAAATGTGTTCTTGGTTTCTTGCATGAGAAAATTACTTAAGGCAAATGGTAAAGATAATTGCTTTTTGTCTCCTTACACCCATTCCCAATACTGACCAGTCAACAAAACCAAGGCAGAATTCACGTATACAAAGATCCAGCTGTTGAAGGTACATGAACACTTAAAGGGAAAACTCGAGTTTCTGTCATAAGATACAGACAACATAGCCTTTTTCTTAGCTAAAATATCCATACCTGCATACAGGCCTGTGGGTTGAAGGGGCAAGGGTTGGGGGGGGGGGGGGCAGCATGTACATGTGTTATGGAGCTTGGTGTGGCTCCCAGCAAAAGGTTACTTCCACCATGATGCCTAAAATTCCATTTACAAAGATAAATGCTAAAATTAGAATGTTAAAATTCAAATATTTCAAGGAGGGAAAACGTGTTAAGATCAATACTAAAGTAAAATCTATGAAGATCAGAATTAATCCAGAAACGCTTTTCCTTTATGGTAGAGAAGAGAAATGAGAGCATTAGTATATCCTGAAAGGTGAGGGAGATGACAAACCATGGGAGTACGAAAAAATGAATGTAGGTCACCCTGGCTTCTCCTAAGATAAATTTTGTCTAGTATACTCATCTCCATTCCTGAGAAAGTTACCTAAATAACAATAAAGGCAATGATACACCTATAGGAACTACAGTTAAAATAGAGTAGGACTGAAATCTTATAATAGAATTTCTCACTAAAGAAAATATTCTCTTGGAGAGGATGTGGAGAAACAGGAACTCTCATGCATTGTTGGTGGGAATGCAAACTGGTGCAGCCACCCTGGAAAACAGTGTGGAGGTTCCTCAAAAAGTTAAAAATAGATCTACCTTATGACCCAGCAATAGCACTGCTAGGAAGTTACCCAAGGGATACAAGAGTGCTGATGCATAGGGACACTTGTACCCTAATGTTTATAGCAGCACTTTCAACAATAGCCAAATTATGGAAAGAGACTAAATGTCCACCAACTGATGAATGGATAAAGAAATTGTGGTTTATATACACAATGGAATACTACTTGGCAATGAGAAAGAATGAAATATGGCCTTTTGTAGCAATGTGGATAGAACTGGAGAGTGTTAGGCTAAGTGAAATAAGTCATACAGAGAAAGACAGATTTCACGCTTATGTGGATCATGAGAAACTTAACAGAAGACCATGGGAGAGGGGAAGAAAAAAAAGAAAAGTTAGGGAGGGAGGGAGTCAAACCATAAGAGACTCTTAAAAAACTGAGAGTAAACTGAGGGTTGATGGGGGGTGGGAGGGAGGGGAAAGTGGGTGATGGGCATTGAGGAGGGCACCTGTTGGGATGAGCATTGGGTGTTGTATGGAAACCAATTTGACAATAAATTTCATATTAAAAAAAATAAAATAATAAAAAAAGAATGTAGCAAAAAAATTTATTTATTTATTTATTTATTTATTTATTTATTTATTTATTTCCATCTTGAAATTGTCTCTCTAGGGATAGACAGTAGCTCTCATGTAGGTTATTGAGTATAGGAAGAAATCTTTTAAGATTTAATTACTAAACTTTTCCTTGTACCTCACTTTTATTAAAATAGCACTTTAGATTTCATTTGGAAACCAGAAACATTACCCCGTAGCCAAAACTCTAAATAGAGCAAAAAAAAAAAAAAAAAAGGAGATTTGGTTACATCATTATCATCTGGTTTCTTGTCCTGCACAAGAGAAGCAAAGAGCAAACCTGAAAGTCAGGGGGGATGTTAATTGTAACTAAAAGCAGAATGTGGAAAACTTTCTCTTGAAGCCAACAATACTATAAACTAGCACAGCAAATTACAACCCCACAGAACTTGTTGATTAATTGAATCAATAATTATGGAAAGCCAGAGATTTGCAATTCTCCACACAATACATTGTCAAGAACATGATAAATAGATAGTAAGCATAGAATGCTTGAGAGTAAAAAAACTCATGCCATGAATATCTTAAAGCAAACTGTAAGGAATATTATTCATTCATTGAGCAAATATTGTTGAATGTGTTCCGATTAAATCAGCCATGGTTCTAGGTACTAGAGACACAGCTGAGAGCAAGCCAAGAAGGTGTTTAAAGTCCACCATTATTTAGGTGATTAGTGAAAATGTGATCTATTTTAGACTCACAGGCTCTCTTTGTTCAAGGTTCCCTTTGCTGCAAGTCCTTTCAGCTTCAAACTAAGATTTATTTAATCCAGCAGTTTATAACGAAGAACAGCAAAGACCAGTTAATTAGAATTCCTTGAAAAGTTAAATGTGAATTTCCTTGACATATGCATATATGCAAAAATTACTAATGGATTTATTTTAAAGGTCAAATCGTAACGCTGGCAGTTGAAGAGGGCTTCGTAAATAAAACACTGGATTAAGTGTACAGTGGCTGAAATAACATAAAGTTAGTAAAAAGGGAAATGTGACCGTACCATTTATGCTGTCATTGCCAAGCTCATTGTCTGGCACTAATTTCAGTCATTAGCGTCATTAGAACAAAATGGCAGGTTAACATTGCCTGAAATTCACTTGCAACGCACAATAAAAGTGCTGCAATATGTGAAGGACAGAACTGGTGTGACTCAAATGTTGAGTTAAATCACATTATAAAAATTTCCCGTAAGTTACTTCAAGGTGAACTCACTGAGTGCCCATCCTAATGCTAGAAATATATATGTATACATCGCCATCAGCTGACTGCTGTTTAAGTGACTTCTCATGCCAGCTAATCAAATCAAGAACCTCAGTGTTACCTGAAGGTGTCACAGGAAAATGTGCTGCCTCTGCCCTGTAGCATAACCATACATTTGGTTTGGCTGGGACAGTAGTGGCTTATAACTGTTGTCCTGACATAATTATTAATAATGTCCCCTTCCTAAGTGTACTGGTCTGGGGAATAAATTATATGTCACCTTTTCTATAGGCCACAGAATTCAGAATTTTACAATACTTTCCTTTAGAGGGCTTTTGTAAATAGCTGAGTGAAGACAGTCCTCATAGGTCAACAATAACAAAAGGCATCACAAAGAAGGTTAGGTATATTGCTGACAAGGTCGTAAGTGACTTCTATTTTAGTCATAGATGTATCTGTAAATATGAGTGTATATTTACATTATTAATAAAATTTGTCTTGGACTGTATGGAGCATCGCCTTTGATATATATGGTCAAGGTAATGGTAAAATGACCCTTAGAACAGCAGAAGCATTAAGATGGTACACAAGTCTGGGGTGCCTGGGTGGCTCAGTTGGTTAAGCGACTGACTTCAGATCAGGTCGTGATCTCACGGTTCCTGGTTCAAGCCCTGCTTTGGGCTCTGTACTGACAGCTCAGAGCCTGGAGCCTGCTTCTGATTCTGTGTCTCTTGCTCTCTCTCTGCCCCTCCCCTGCTCACACTCTCTTCCTCTGTCTCCAAAATAAATAAACATTTTTTTATTTTTTTTATTTTATTATTTTTTTAAACGTTTATTTATTTTTTGAGACAGAGAGAGACAGAGCATGAACAGGGGAGGGGCAGAGAGAAAGGGAGACACAGATCTGAAACAGGCTCCAGGCTCTGAGCTGTCAGCACAGAGCCCAACGTGGGGCTTGAACTCACGGATTGTGAGATCGTGACCTGAGCTGAAGTCGGCCGCTTAACCGACTGAGCCACCCAGGCGCCCCAAAATAAACACTTTAAAAAAAAAAAAAAGAAAAGAAAAATATGGTACACAAGTCTGTGTACATGTTGGAAGACACAGGGAATGGCTGTTATGAATGTTAGTTAAAGTCAATTAAAATAGCCTAAAACCTCGGAATCGTTCCTGGAAATACAGTAGGTTTGGGACTGCTAGCATGTCATAAAATTCTAACAAGATTAATGATCTAAAGGCATATTTAAAAATATATAATGCTCCTACATATGTAATGGAAAATAAAAAGAGACATGTGTAATAAGGAGAAATATGGAGAAACAATTTGGTTTTGGGGGGATTTTTGCTACTATGTTCTCATTGGCAAAATACAAAGGAGTATTTCCTTTCTACCTCATAACCAAATTTTTATCCTGAGTTCCCTTTTGTTCATGTGTGATTCTCACAAGGAGGCCTTGAACAAATAAATAAATCTCAGAGAAGATGAAGTGTCCATGCTTCCACATAAGAGATGGGGGTAGTCCTACTCCTGGGAATTCGTGAAAGCAAGGGATTCGATAGAGCAAGGGCTTCTAGGTTCATAAAAGATACAATCATTTAAGCCTCCAAGGCGGCAGAACATCATCTGGATTTGATTACATGCACGCTGGTGAGAGCTAAAGTATCAAGGGTCATGGCATTAAAGTCAGGCAAGGAGACTGAACTACCCCCAAGGGAATAAGGCCAGTAGAGCAGCCACCAACCTCCATTAGGAATACAACAACCTGAACAGGATTCCAGTCAACTGTTGGAGGAGGTCATGGAGAGGACATGATCACAGGTTGACAGTCAAGCTAGACCTGGGCAATCAGATGCTCCTCACCCCTCCCCCTGTCATTGGAATGCACGGTCCACACACAGGTGGGAGCTGTTTTCAAGGATGTACCCTTGAAGGAACAATGAGTTATTTAAACTGTCTAGATTTTATAAGTGACTGAACTCAATTAAGGCCTCTATATGAATTTTTTAAGACTGTAGCAAGCAAGTGCAGAGATCTAGTTTTGTGGCCGCCGAAGGCAAGCCTCATTACGTGTTCTCTCGCTTATTAAAACTACCACTTCCCAATCTGAAAGGGCCTGTCTCTTCTTTTTTTTTTAATTTTTATTTTGTTTAATTACATCCAAATTAGTTAGCATATAGTGCAACAATGATTTCAGGAGTAGATTCCTTAATGCCCCTTACCCCTTTAGCCCGTTCCCCTTCCCACGACCCCTCCAGTAACCCTCTGTTTGTTCTCTATATTTAAGAGTCTCTTATGTTTTGTTCCCCTCCCTGTTTTTACATTATTTTTGTTTTCCCTTCCCGATTATGTTCATCTGTTTTGTCTCTTAAAGTCCTCATATGAGTGAAGTCATATGATATTTGTCTTTCTCTGACTGACTAATTTCGCCTGCCTCTTCTGTCTCTGGTTGCCCTCCATGTATGGGGGCCGGTTTCAGATTTTACCTGAGAAATCCCCAAGGTTGCAAACCAACACCATCTTAAGCAGCACCATCGTGCCAAAGAGGTGGCCAAAGACCATCACCCAAGCAGCATTAGAAGAAGCAGGGAGCAGGTAAATACAGATGAAGGATTTGAGACTTTAGAGATAAAAAAGGTAAGGTGAAATATTACCAATACTGTACTCTCTGCTCACCTTGGTAAGCAGGAACTCACAGCAAGATTTATTTAATAATATAAAGGGGAAACTGTGGCTTTACACATAAGACCCTGACCAGGAAATACAAAAGGATGAATGAAGGTGGCACTTTCCTCAAAAAGACATCAAGCTGAAATGAACACTACTATCCATGAAGTCTATGGCTCCAAAACCTCCTATAGTATGTGATGGTCAACCATATACATAATGTATACTTAATGGATACATACATAAGAAAAAATGTAATCTACAGCTATTTATAAATTCTCAATTTGTTAAGGTCAAAAGATAGTCAAATTTGGAATAGCAGGCATTCCACATACCAGTAAGAATGTTCTCTGTTGCAAGTAACAGAGAAAGAAGGAAGGAAGAAAGGAAGGAAGGAAGGAAGGAAGGAAGGAAGGAAGGAAGGAAGGAAGGAAAGGAAAGAAGGAAGGAAGGAAGGAAGGAAGGAAGGAAGGAAGGAAGGAAGGAAGGAAAGGAAAGAAGGAAGGAAGGAAGAAAGGAAGGAAGGAAGGAAGGAAGGAAGGAAGGAAGGAAGGAAGGAAAGAAAGAAGGAAGGAAGGAAGGAAGGAAGGAAGGAAGGAAGGAAGATGAAAGAAAGAAAGGGAAAGGGAGAAAAGGGGAAAGAGAAAGGGAGAAAGAGGGAGAGAGAGAAGGAGGGAAAGGGAGGGGAGGGAAGGGGAAAAGAGGAGAAAGAAAGGGAGAGGAAGGGAAAGAAGGAAGGAGAGGGGAGGAAAGGCAAGAGGAGAGAAGGGGATGGGAGGGGAGGAGAAGGGAGGGGAGGGGAAGGGAAGGGAAGGAAGGAAAAAAAAATGAAAACCAGCTTTAAAATATAAGGTATAGGTATAAGGAGTATACCTATATAAGCCGGGTATAAGGAGTCTTTCTTTATTGGCTTCTCATATTTTCTAACAAACATGCTTGTTCCCTAAAAAAAAAATTAATCTTCTTAACATATATGCTCAGAAAATAATGTGGATTTAGTTTCACTAAAGGAATTAAATGACTTCAATCAAAACTTGACCCAGCACTCACAAAATGTAACCAAGGTTTGAATTATCTCCATTTCCCAGCTTCATTTCTTCAGAGTGGGGTCCTATCATACCCAGCTCCCCCAACATGTTCATACATACCGTCTGTAGTCCCAAGATGATTGCAGCAACCCCAAGTAATGTCTTCATTTTTGTCCAGGGGGGAAAACATGATGCTTTTGCCTCACTATTTCTAAGGAAAGTTATGTGATTCACTCTCATTGAGCTTGTTTGGGTCCTGAACCAATCACTACTGGCACAGTTATGAAAAGCAATGATTAGTTAACCCTATGTCACATGTGAAACTCCTAAAGCCAGATTAATTACCTAATAATACTACATTGATCCGCAAACGCAAATCAAGTATGGCAAACATTGTCACAAAAGGCAGAACCACAAAATGGAAGATCCCGGGGTCCTTGAATCCCTGATTAAAACAGAAGTACCTTCTCAGTTTTAGGCTTCATATGGGTGAGAAATTCAATTGAGATGCACTCATTATATATTTTTACTACTGAAGCTAATGTTATCTTACCAGATACAAGATGACCAATAGATCAAAGGCACAGAGAAGGAAAAAAACGGGGTTTAAAATGGCCAACATGGAATCTTTATTTCCTGGTCTTTCTTTATATCTCTAGTACTCAGCACAATATATGGTAAAATATCTGCATTAAATACTTATGGAGAAATTCTAGAAGGAAAATTAAGACCTGCCCACAAGAAAAGGTACACATTTTCCAAGAGAAAAATTCTGTAAGTAAAATATGGGGGAAAATACATCTTGTTGGCAATGATGCCATCACTCACACAGCTCAACCTCAGAACACCTAAGGCCCAAGACTTTGCATAATTTATTGTCTACTTGTGTGTGCCACATCCATCTATAAACTGAAACACAATGAGGCCCACATTTGTCTTCTTCACCACTGGTATCGCCATGGCACTGGCACATAGCATGTCTTAGATAAATATTTGTCCAGTTGCTAAACAATGAAGTGATACAATACAAAATTGAACAATAGTTCAATATTCTACTATATGACTACAATCCTGGATCTCTGCAGATCTGGCAATTTACACCTACCCTCTGAGCCCTATGGAACCCATCAGTTCTTTGACCTTCACCTCCGCATTTTATCCCCATCTCCCCTACTTCCTCTTATTTAGCATGATACTTCTGTTTCCTTATCAAACTTTCTTTTCCTCAACACCTTTGTTTCCTGTGTACCCCATACCTGTCTTACACTTGCCTACAAAACCCCAGCTCCGATTCAACGCTATGGTTCGCTTTCTCTGAATTCGGTCAACTGCTGTAGAAAAAAAACTGAACACAAGTTGATTAATAACTCACTACATAATCACGATCCCCACTTTCAGCAGCTACCACAGCACCGCACATTAGTAGTTTTCCTTGTACTTGTCAGTCTCTTTCCCATTCTCCTCAGCACTCATTTCACACTTTACCCCAAAGCTCCTACTAAGCCTCTCTCACTCTCAGAATATAACCTTGGTCCCAACCCCAGGGAAAACTGCTGCCACCAAACATGATTTCCTTCAACTTCCTGGCCACTCACATACATCCACTTTCTAGCCACACTTCCTTCCCTTGTTTCTCAGAGGATGCAGAGCTCATCCCACAAAAAGGACCCACTTATGCCTTCTTAAAACTATACCCCCCACCCCCACCCTTGAGGCCTGGTCCATCAGCCATCCTTTCTTTTCTTTGTATTTCCAGTCTCTCCCTCTCTTCTGGTTCTCTTCCCTCTGCCTCTAAATCCTAAGTCTGTCCTAAAGGCAGTGCTTTCTTGACCTCATGTCCTTGAACTACCATCCATTCTTCTCTTGTCCAGACTTCAAGAAAAAGTAGTATGCATCATGCCCACTCTGAGATCTTACTTGCAATGCAAACATTCTACTGAAATTGTTCTGGCAAATGTTGAAGACTCCCACATTGAAAAGTCCAGTAGAAATACGTTGGTCTTTAATTTACAGGACATCTCCTGTATCTGATATGGCAGTTGTCCACTCTTGTCCTTTTTGACACTAACTTCCGTGGCTTCTCTAACACCAAACACTCTTTGTTCTTTTTCTACTTTCCTGATTATTCTTAGTCAGCTTTTTGGGCATCTCTTCTACTCATCCCATAAATGATGATGTTCCCCATGATCAGTCTCATATTATTGCATGATCTCATCCCCTGTTATGGGTTTAATATCCACTATCTCCAGCACAGACTTTTCCTCCCAAGCTTCAGACTGAAAGAGTCAACTGCTCACTCCACTCCTGAATGTCCTATTGCCAACTCAAACTCAGTATACAAAAATGGATTCAAAATCTCCATCCCTATCTCCAATCTGACCTTTTCTATAGCTAAATCCACTCCAACTTCTGACTTTACCACCTTGTTATTTTCAACATAACAAGATAGAATTCATTCTTAATTTTTTTCTGCACACCTGCCATTTCAATCAACAGTCATATTATTTTATGACCTTACATCCATATTCTTCTCTCACAATTTTGGTTTCATTGTCTCTGCATGGGAGCATTACAACAACCTCACTGGTCTTCCTCATTCCAAACTTTTCCACCCCAAATCCAACCTCCAGACAGCTAATAGATCTGACTGAAATACAAATGTGGTCACATTGTTCCATCAACGATCACCATTCCCCCATTGTAATTCAAGCTCCAAAATATGCTACAGAAGGCGTTGCTTGATTTGACCCAAGCTTACCTCTCCTTTCTCACCACCACCTGCCCTCCACTCTAGTCCCATCAACACTAAACAGATTTCAGCCTCCTATACTCATGCTGAACCCTCTGCCTGGGATACTCTTCCTTCCCCATCTCTCGACTAACTCCTGCATTTCCTGTGAGCTTTAAAATGCTGGGCAGAGATGATCTCTTCTAGGTAGTTATCTTCACTGTTAAACATTTCATGTATTAGAGTTACAGAAAGAGCTTACAGGATGTACTCTTTCAGGAAGTAATAAGTTCCCTTCAGTGCAGACAAGAAGAAATGGCCACCAGCCAGGTATAGTTTAAAGGGCTGGATTAAATGACTTTTAACATTCCACTCTAGGATTATAGGATTTGTTTAGTCAGTGAGAGATTAGTGTAGTATGCTAGCTCAAAACACTTTAAGTTAAAAAGAGAAATCCTTACCTATTGAGAGAAAAAATGTTCCTCCTAATGTTTTATCTGTCATTGTATGCCTCTCTAATGTGTAAAATGAATCTAAAGTAACACAGTGATAAGATTCCTTAAAGGCCAAGTTAATATTTAACATTTTAAATATGAGAACACTTGACAATAATGTAAGTCGTATTTCTTATGTCTAGAATAAGAGAATAAAGGATAAAAATAAATTGGATCAGAGCATTTCAATATTAATTGAACTTCACTTCCAATTAGACTACAATAAGTATACAAAGTATTCACAGCTGATTTGTGTTCTAATTTATAAGAACCTTATATAACTTTTTTAATATTAGTCATTGAAAATGGCAACAGAATAAAAATAATTAAAATAAAACAGTCAGTCCTTGGATGGAACATCAAGAAAGAAAATTATCTAACAAAACACATCAGAATATCATTAGGGAGAAAGCATGTTCTAGTTAAGACAAATGTGGCATTATATAATAAGTATAAAATCATAAAACTTTTATGCCTTAAGGGCGCCATTCTATTAATATTCAGATTAAATCGTTATTTCAGTGTACAAAGAGAATTAAAAAAAACACTAAACAGATGGTTTTCCTTCATATTAGGAGTAGGAGCTTACACATAAAGTGTTTATTATTCACTGAATTTGACAGAAAACCAAATATTGAGAATTGAAATATAACCCCATATAATACTACAAATAATGTA